AGGAAGACCCTCTATGAGGTGGATTGATTCAGTGACTGGGATAATTGGGATGGGAGTGTCAGAGACAGTGCGATTGGCACAGGACAGAGCGGAGTTTAAGGCTGTTGTACGTAGGGTCGCTATGAGTCGCAGGTGACTCGACGGCACATAACAGCAAGAACTTTAGATTTCATTTACTAACTAGTAAAGGAAATGGATTATTTCTTGTTAGTCTTCCTTTTTCCAAATTTGCTTTTTTTAAAACCAGAAATCTGGACGTTACATTCTGGTTATTGTGTAGTGTATGATATTACTTTTATTTGGCTCTTAGTATTTAACCTGGTTTGGTTTAGTATTAATCATGGAGGCAAATTCTCAGACAGAAAATGTCTTCAGTTTAATTGTGCTACTCCAAAGGGGATCCAGCAACAACGATGAATTTCATATTAGAATGTTCTTATGGAAATTAGGGTATAAAGCTCCAAATTTAGTGTCTTAAAATACACCTTTCAGTAACAGTTTTGCTTATTCTTAATCTTATAAATTATATTGGTCATTTTTTATACATTGAAGTACTCTCTAAAATGTACAGCAAGTCAGTTTTATTATGATTGAATCTTTTCCAGATGACGGTAATGAAACAGAAGTACAGCCACAACAGAACAGCCAATTAATGTGGAAACAAGGTCGACAACTACTTAGACAGTAAGTATTTCAGCTTCACATTATGCATTGGCAAAGGAAGGAAAAATACAAGATTATTCTGTGTTTCTAACTCAATAAAATAATTTTTTTCTCAGTTCTGTACTGTTGAGAAAAGCTTAATATCTTAATATATTATAGTTCCTCAATAGAATTATTATTTTTATTAAACATTAATAAGAGTTATCTATAATAGATTCTCTTGTTGTAATTTTAGCATATCAAGAAGAGAATTTTGAGCTTCCAAATTTTATATCCACTTAAACTTACTTGGGAGGCTCAAAATCACTCCTCGTTTGTTTTGCACATGAATGCGTATATAATTGAAATATAATTCTGATCAGTGCTTACATGCTATCTGTATTAAATTTTTAACCTGTTCTATTTTGAATAGGTTGAAAAATGTACTGAATTAAAACTGGAAGGAATTGAAATCGTGTGTGTAGATACATATTTATGTGTGTTATAGAGTTATAACCATACAACTAAAGAACATAGGGTTTGTCTTATGAGCTAAGACAAAAACTTATGGCCTTTAAGTCAATTGCAGCTCATGACAGCCCTCCAGAATCGGGTCTCTGCGTCTGTAAGTCCTTTGGGAAGGAGATTGGCTCCCCTTCCTCCCTCCGAGTGGCTGGTGGACTCTTCTTAACTGCCTGCTCTAGCACTTAGCAGCACAGCGTGTAACGCACTGCACCACACCACCAGGGCAACTTTATCGATTCAGAGCTGGACCTAGACATTTCCACCATTGTTTTGTAACTTTAATTCTGAACTTCATTTTCTTTCTCTTAAATAGGCACACCTAATATAGTGCTTGAGATATAGATGGTGTTCAGTATCACTAAATACCACAAAAAAGCTCAAAAGTAGCAATCACTGAAATGCAAACAAAACAAATTTCATTAATGAATGTTACAGACCAGTGATAATCACTAACTATAAGCAAGCATCAAGTTTACTTGATGACAAAAATAGACAAGGTAATGAGTAAGATCAATTTATTTTCAACACTTGGTATTAAAAGTTACTAAGGTTGAAAGAGATCTCACAAAGCTATGTGATCAAATAGAAGAAGTGTATCATATCCGTCAGGATAAACTGATTTTTCATTGCTAATAGTAATAGAAAACTTTTTAAAAATTCCTTGGGAAGGGACATTGTATTTGGAAAGGTGAAGAGTCAGTGAAAGAGAGGAAGACTCCCAGTGAGATGGATGAACACAGTGACTGCAGCAGTGGGTTAAAGTGTGTCACAGATGGTGAAGATGACACAGGATAAGACAGGGTTCAAGTCTGTTGTTCATAGGGCTTGGTGTGAACTCAATTAGATGTGACCCAACATCAACTAGAAGGACCTCCTCTGTGTCAGGCACTGTTCTAGGCAGAAATGGAGCAGTGAACCAAAGTCCTGATTTGACTACATGCTGATGTGTAAGAATCTTCACTGGCCTTCGCTTATGAAGAATCACACGTCATATAATCTAGTTTTGGAGTTTTTATTGGTATATCTGGTGGTGTAACAATTTGTCAAAAATAGAAAATCATAACACCTTTCTGTTAGTATACAGCAGCAGTGATGAAATTCAGGAGAATTTGGAAACTAAATGAATTTATGATGAGGTTCAAATGATTGTCATAAGTCAATGTTGATATTTTTATATAGTTTTACTTTAACTGTGGCTGATGAAACTTAGTTTACAATAAAAACTTCCTTTCTGAAGCTGTGACTCTTTGAAAAACACTCTCATGGAGTATATTGTGGAGAAAACCCCTTCACGCTAAAAGCATCTCCCTAGATCTCACACCATTAATCCAGTGACATTTTCCATCAGAAATATTTAAGAAAATATCTACTGGGAAGCCATTATAAAATCGCAGACTCTGGAAGTAAGCTTTCTCCAGTCCTGCCTGAAAGAAAGGGTATGCCACTAGGTATATTAAGGAACAACTTCTTATGGTAAATGTAATGAATAGTGTATTGTATAGTTCTTTGATATGCGTCAGTGACTGAAGAGGCTGGTACTGCAAGAGACAGCCCCATCTGCAGCTGGAAAAGTATTAGCAAACTCTATGAGCATAGTACTGCACTGTTAAATCTTACACAGGCAAGGAATTTAAACAAATAATTTTATTTATATAATAAATTATAGGCTACTGTTTGGCTGAATCTTAAGGTTCTTCTTCACTCAGGTATCTTCAGGAGGTGGGCTACACAGATACCATCCTTGATGTGAAATCTAAACGAGTGCGAGCTTTGTTGGGCTTTTCAAGTGATGTCACTGACAGGGAAGATGACAAAAATCAGGACTCGATTATAAATGGCACAGAGGCTGAAGTTAAAGAGACAGCAATGATTGGGTAAGTATTTCTTTTTCCTGGAAGGTGTTTTAATGCTAATTTTATTTCTTATGAAATATTTTTGTTTTATGAATAATATACTTTCAGATAGTGATATAGAAATAATTATACTTATGTTTCATAAAAATTTTAATTTCATTTCTTAGCAGGAAATTAATAGATTGGAGTTAAACTTATATTTTATTGCTTAATTTAATTCCAGACTACTTAGGAATTTTTTTACTTTATTGGAATTGATATATCTAGTAGAATTTTACTATCTTGAAGCACATTCGTTTTCTGTTAGATCCTTATAAAAGCTCCTATTTGGAAATTAAAAATAAACTTCTGAGGAAGAATTTTCACTGTTGATGACCTGGAAATGACACATACTTTAAAATCCTTTGAAGTAAACTTTAAAAAAACTACCTTTATTTATCTAATAATGCTGTAAATATATTTTTAAGTGTATTTTAAATTGATATATTATCTATTCATGAATAAATTCATAACTTTAGAATGTTCTTTTTTGGATCATTTATTATACAGATACATAGTTCTTTTTAAATGGAACATGAATAGTACAATAAGGAGATTATTTTTTATTGGAAAATATTGGGCCACGGTTTTTAATTAAATAGAAAGCTTGAAGTACTGTGAAAGTCCAATAATGAGGTTACCTTATTTTTAATATATGTAGGCTTAGAAGAATGGTATTCATTGAACTATAATATCATTCATTAATTGAATACATTTTTCAATGAACACTTAGTTCTTGTTACTTGGCACAAAAACTAAAATTACAAGACTTAAGTAAAGATGAAAATATAAGAATTTTATAAATAAAATGCAAACATTTATTAATTAATAATTAGGAATATATTAGCATATTTTTATAAATGTAAGACATAAATTATTCTTCCATGTAGGCATAGATCTTGTGACCATTACTCCTAGTTGTATTTTTCACCTTGATGCCAGACTTTCCATCATTATAAAAATCTCAACAATAGACCACAGAAGTAACATATTTTGAGCTTTTGAAACGGATAAGAGTTACGAGTTTGAATCTGTCAAATTTAGGTAGAAATTGAGAATGGAGATGGAAAGAAAAAAATATATCTCCCAGTTATCTTAAAACATGGGATTTTTGGTTTTGAAAATTCTATTGATGATTTCTATGTTGTTGTTGTATGCCGTCAAGTTGCGTGCAACTCAAAAGTGACCCTATGTACAACAGCTCTGAAGGCTGACCTGTCCTGAGCCAGTCTCACTGACCCTCATTACCCCAGTTACTGTCAGTCCATCTCAAGGGGGGTCTTTCTCGCCTGAGCTTTCCCTCCACCCTTCCTTTCCAAGGACCAGTCCCTTCTGGCCCCATGCCCAAAGTATGTGAGATGGAGTTTCAAAAACCTAGCCTCCAAGGAGAAACTTGGTTTCTCCCTCTCCAAGAAAGATCTTTATTTTCTTGGTCGTGGTCCATAGTATGTTTAAAACTTCTCCAGCACCACAGTTCAAAGACTTCAATTCTTCTGTCATCTTTAGTCAGCATCCAACTCTCTGATGCATAGCAAGTTATTGCAAATACAATTTTTGTGTGTGTGTGTTTACAAAAATGCCTTCTTCTCTTAAGCATTTTGATGAGCTGGAGAGAAATCACTCAATTCTGACCATTAGGAAACTTCCTAATTATTGGTGATTGTATGCCATGAGTCAGTTCTAACTAATAGTATTGCTGTGTACAATAGAATTAAACACTTTATGAATCCAAAGTACTTTTTTAAAAAGAATAGAAGAGAAGCCACTTGCTATTTCAAACTAAAGACCATGGAAATGGAGCAGATAATAATAAACTTTATTTGGAATAATAGTAACAGTAGAAGCAATGTGACATATCTTGGATTAAATTTTATGTAACATTAAGAGGACATTGACTGAGCAAAATGTACATGTTTTAAACCAGAAAATCCGAGTTAACAGATTCTGCCTCCGTGCTGGATAATTTCAAATTTCTTGAAAGTGCAGCTGCAGATTTCAGTGATGAAGAAGATGATGATGATATTGATGGGAGAGAAAAAAGCATCATTGATACTTCAACAGTGAGTTGGATGCTTAACTAATACAAATGTTTTTAATGAACAGAATGCATGCTTTAAAAATAATCCTTGTTTTTGATCCTAAATGCTTAATTGTCGCTACCCCTTTTAATTTAGGGAGAACATGGTGTTTAACATAGGTTTCAAATTCAAGAATGTTTTTAGGATCGTGAATTTCTCTTGAAAATCCTTTCTTTCCTACCTTTTGTTGATTCATTAAACATGACAGCAGTTTGTAGGACAAGGTACTGTGGTAAATGTCATATGTTGTAAGAGTGCTGTGTCATTTGCTGCTATAAGACAGGGATACTGACAAAGACATCATGGTGCGTGGTGGCGGCTGGCATCAACTAGACGTAATGCAATTTTATCTCGTCAAGATTCCAGGTTCTGTGACCACTCGCATTTTTTTGGAAGCCTTTCATTAAATTTCTTCATTGTTTAGTGTTCTTCTATAGTTTTATTCTGATTTTTATAAGATTATAGAACTTTTCCAATATAGAATAATATGTCTCTGAATTGCTACTTCTTTCGTTTCTCTTTTACCATCTACTTGTTTTCTTCTTCCTTCTCCTTCCTCATCCTCCTCTCTGACCAGGAAAGTGTTTGACTTTTCTCCCCCCCCCCCAGTTTATTTAATAAGAAATGGGACAAAAGCTCCACAAAACTAACCCCAGTACTCTCAAATTGATTGTAACTCCTACCACTCTCATTGGGCTTTTAAGACTGTGCATATTTCTGAGATGAACCTTGCCTGTCCTTCTGTGGAGTAGCTTTAATGAATAGAGCTCAAACTTCCATCCTTTCAGTTTGAGGCCCCAGCATGCACTGTATCACTAGAACTCCTTGTATATTAATAGAAGGAGAAGTTGAGGAATATAACACAAACTAAAAGTCCTAAGACTTAGATTTAACTCCTAGGTCAGCCACTAGTTGTTCATTCTTTTAAATAGTTTAATCTTAGTTTTGTAGTTTGTAAGATGGATATTTTTAATAGTTGTTGTTGTTATGTGCCTTCGAGTCACTTGGGACTCATAGCGATCCTATGTAAGAGCCCTCAACACTGCTCTGTGCTTTGCCAACCTAAACATTGCTCTATCCTGTGCCAACCTCACCGTCTCCAACACATTCATTCCCACCACCCCAGTCACAGAATCGATCCAACTCATGGAGGGTCTTCCTCTCCTGTGCCGTCCCTCCACTCTCCCAAACGTGATGTCCCTCTCTAAGGACCAATAGCTCCGTGCAACATGCCAAAAATATGTCAGAAGAAGCTTCAGAATCCTTGACTCCAAGGAGCATTCTGGCTTCACCCTCTCCAAGACAAACCTGTTTGTTCTCCTAGCAGTCCCTGGTATAGTCAACACTTTTCTTCAGCAGCATCACAGCTCAAAAGCATCAATTCTCATTCTGTCATCCCTAGTCACTGTCCAACTCTCCGATGCATAGCACATAATTGGGAAGACTATAGCCTTGATCAGGCGCACCTTAGTCTCCAACCTGACGTTGTTGCTCTTTAGTACTCTTGTGTATTAAACTTGTCTCACAAGTATTTTATGATGAACAAATGAAACACTATATATGGAAATGATTTATAAAGAACTTTCTAAGTGTATCCTGTTCTTTTTACCTTCTACTTCTTGGACTCCGTCAGAAAACTACAAATTACTACATTCAGGTTATTGTTTTGTTGAGCTCCTATTAAGTATTTTTTTCCCCCTGCACATTCAATGATTTATTCATTGCAAATACTTTTTTTAATTTTGTTAATGAAATTTTTTTGTTTTGTTTTTAAAAATTTTGGTTTTTTATTTTATACTGATTTATATAACAGAGCTCAAATACATTGTTTTTCACACAAATTCCTTCCCATCCTATTATTATTTGAGTTTTAATTTTCTCTATATTTTTTTTTCTCCAAAAAAATTAATAGCATGTGTCTTAATTTACTTTAGTGGAAGTAAAAATAATCTTTGATCTATATAGATCACAAGAAAAAAAATGCATTTGTAATAGAAACTGCAGAGTAATCCAAAGGCACACAGTTCAGATCACTGCTCCATGAGGGGAAAGATGGACATTCTCCTCCTGTGCAAGTAATGGCCTCTGTAAACCCTCTGGAGGGTCAACTATGGGTCAGTTCTGATACAGCAACACACAACCACCACCACCCAGTCCTTGTGGTTAAGCACTGCCAACCAAAAGATTGACTTTTTGATCCCAGGCAAAAGATGTGGTGGTGTGTTTCAGTAAAAGTTTGTAGCCAGCAAAATCCAATAGGAGGGTTGTACTCTGTCATATGGGGTCACTGTGAGTGGAAATTTACTTTATGTCATTTCAACATCACCAGTAGTATATTCCTCTAAATTTTGTCAAATACTATCATCACTATGAGTATTTATTTTTGTTTGTGCTAATGATGTTTATTTCTTCTGTGAATGATCTGTTTTATGTTCTTTGACAATTTTTGGTGTGTGGGTTGCATGTCTCTATCTTTTAAGGGCCCTTTATAAGTGGAGGAGTGGAACTTTTATACAATGGGTGGATAGATATAGTTAGGTAGAAGGGCATTTGTGTCTGTGTGTGTATTCATCCATCCATCCATCTTGCACTTCCAGTAAAGAGCCATCCTGAAAATTAAAATACCATTATTTAGCTGCTAATAAAGATTCATAGAGGGAAGTTTTAGCTAATCAAACAGATTCATAATTGTTAGTACTCTCTAGTAAATTCCTTTTATTATTAAATTGGGAAACTGTAGTGGGCATGGTCCACAGGAAGCTGTGCTGTTGACCCAAGACTGAGCCCGCTCTCATTAACCCACTAGCATCTCCTCAGGGGAGTGATGAACAATTTTCTCTTATGCATTTTACATCCTTGGAAACCCAGTGGAGAGTCAGCTCTGTGTCTGTTCCTACTGCAAGACAGTGAGTTTGAGGATTATTAAAGTAGGAGACTGTGTCTTTATTAAAACTTTTTGAAGTCTTTTATTTTATATTAATGCTGCTACCTAGCTTGCTTTTGGGTTTATTTATCAGCAATAACTCTTTATTTCTTTATTCTCCCTTTCTCCATTATTGTAAATAATAGCTGTTAATAGGAAATAGAATTTGTATCTTTAAATTTCAAGGTTGGCAAGTTCATAAAATTTCCTAATGATGTTTTCTATTTTAGTTGAATAAAAAAAATACCCATATTATAAGTTGTTATTGTTGGTTAGTTGCTCTCAACTCAATTCTGACTTTCAGAATGTACAACTGAAGGAAATCCTGTGCTTTTCATGATGATCTCTTCTGTTTTTGATTTAATATGTTTCATCACTGTGTCAGTCGATATTCTGTAGGATGATTTCAGCCTAGTGAGTAAGGAATCAACTAACCCAGAAGCAGGTGGTTTGGATCCATCACCAACCCCACAGGAGGAAGATGGACATTGTCCTTCAGTACAGTTTATAGCCTCTGAAAATTTGGAGGGTCAGCTGTGAGCTAGGTGAAGGTGATTAAAGCAAGAGAAACTAAGTTCCAGAGAGATTCAGTTCAGTGGAGTGTGTCCACAAGATGGCAGTGTTAACACAGCAAGCTGCTCATGAAGGCTGAGGCTGAGATAGTGTCTCATACCAGGAAATGCTCCAGAGAGGCAAATCCTATTGGAAGCCAGAAAAAAAAAATTTTTTTAAAAAAAGGTAAAGGAATTCTCTTAGGAGAGAGAGGAAAGAGAAAGGCAGGATTTATGTACCTAGCTGATTTCCTGGAAACTCCAAGGTGGATAGTCTGTAGATCAGAGAGCTCTAAAGAGCAAAAGCAGCTTGACATGTTTGTAACTACAGGAGTTATTCAGTCTGTAACTAGGAGATACTTGGTGCTCTTTTGCTGGGAATTTAAAGCACACAGACTGGAAATTAAAATCTACTTGTTTATTTTAATAGCAATTATATGTGTAAAAAATTTGAATTTGATGCTAGTCAACAGGCAAGTTTTTTTGACCTTTAGTTTGGTATGAAGAAATTAACAACATAGGATATTTGTATTCACAGGGGCCATCTTTGATTCATTTACATGGCATTATATAATATCTGCATTACTGCTAAGTAAGCTTGGCTAGTTGTTTGGGGTTTTTTTTTATTGTTTGTTTTTAATAAATTAGCCAAGTGAAGACAGTCTCTGTTCACTAGTAGGTAACCTTATGGATGGCCCTTTTACTTCTGCTTTTGTTTCCTGGTGCTATCTACTACCAATTCAGTTTCTTTCTAGGAAGATTTATTTTGCTCTAATTCTAACCACATGGGTATATATATTTACATCTTATCCTTATTTGTCGTGCTACAAATGGGACAGAGATGTGTTTATGGGTAGTTAACGATTCTCACCACTGGACCAATTGGCAGCATCAGGATGGATGGCGAAGAGATTGAGATTATTCACAGCTTCAGTTTGCTCGGCTCCACGGTCAGCACTCTTGGCACCAGCAGCCAGGAAATAAAAAAATGTATTATGATCAGAAAGTCTGCTGTTAGGCACCTTCTAAAGTACTCAAGAGCAGCAATGTCTCTCTGGAGACTAAGGTGCGCCTGATACAGGCCATGGTCTTTGCAATCACTTGTTATGCATCAGAGAGTTGGACAATGACTAAGTAGGATAGAAGGAGAATTGATGCCTTTGAGCTGTGGTGCTGGAGAAGAGTATTGAATGTTACCTGGACTGCCAAGAAAACAAACAGATTCATCCTGGAGAGGGTTAAACCAGGCTACTCCTTAGAGGCAAGGATTCTGGGTCTTCATCTGACATACTTTGGACATGTTGTAAGGAGGGACAGGTCCTTGGAGAGTGACATCATGCTTGGGAGGGTGGAGGGATGGTGCAAGAAGGGAATACCCTCTATGAGGTGGATTGATTCAGTGACTGGGGTAATCGGGATGGGTGTGTCAGAGGCAGTGCGATTGGCACAGGATAGAGCAGGGTTTAGGGCTGTT